TGTCGTGTCTGTGGTAGGAGGTAGGTGCTGGGGCCAGTCATATACACCATTAAGTTATACGTTATTCTAGAACACGAAGAAGAATATTATATGTAGGTGTTATGGTGCCAGTGATCACCATATGTTGTGTGTGATAAAGGTGATGTCTCCACGCCTCGCTTACCAGGTGAAGGCGAGGCTAAGGAAGTCTTCTAGACCTATATTACCCTACTGTGTGCCCTGCCAACACACCCTCAACACACCCTCAACACAACCTCAACACACCCTCAACACAACCTCAACACAACACAACACATATCTAGAGAAATATTATTGTTTTTGATAACCTCTCTGTACTCTAAATACCTGAAGAAATCCCTAGTTAACATTCGCCATCCAACAAGGGTCAGGATTTTAACTGGTAGTGGTGGTGGTAGTGGTGGTAGTAGTGGTGGTGATAGTAGTAGCGGTGGTGGTGGTGGTGTGTACTATGGAAACGCCCACCGGCACTATGTACACACACACACACACACACACACGACCCTCCCATGTCTGTATGTCCATCTACTGTCATTTATTACTGGACACTGTTGTTGTTGTTGTTGCTGTGGTGGTTGTTATTGTTGTTGTTGTTGTTGTGAAAGAGATTAACTGAAGTGTTGTGTTGTGTTTTTCTTCTCCATATGTGTTGTGTGTTTTTCTTCTCCATATGTGTTGTGTGTTTTTCTTCTCCATATGTGTTGTGTGTTTTTCTCCTCCATATGTGTTGTGTGTTTTTCTTCTCCATATGTGTTATGTGTTTTTCTTCTCCATATGTGTTGTGTGTTTTTCTTCTCCATATGTGTTGTGTGTTTTTCTTCTCCATATGTGTTGTGTGTTTTTCTTCTCCATATGTGTTGTGTGTTTTTCTTCTCCATATGTGTTGTGTGTTTTTCTTCTCCATATGTGTTCCTATTCCCTGTTCCATATGTAACGAGGTGTTTTTATCCTGTGTGTTTTTGCAGCTTACACTCCATATGTGTCAATATTCTTTTATTTATATGTATCGTGGCACTCCCGTCACCACATGTGTTGTATTATGATTCCCATAACACATGAGTTGTACCTCCCATGTGTGTTATATTTATCATACCATATGTGGCTTGGTTCCCCCCCCCCCCATATCTTGTGACTTCCACTCCATATGTGTCAGCACTCTTCCACCCCATATGTTACATCTCCCACCCCATATGTGTAGTCACTCTCCCACCTCATATGTGTCATGACTTCCACCGCATGTGTCGTGATTTCTGATCCCCTGTGTGTCATGTGTGTTATTGGTCAACATATGGTGTGAATTTTACCAGAATATTCTCATAGCTGTGTCCCTCAAAGGTGTAGATGATCCTCAGTCCATATGTGTCGTGGTTCCCCAGCCAATATGTGTCATAATCTCCATTCCATATGTGTCATGTCTCCCCATACCATATGTGTCATGTCTCCCCATACCATATGTGTCATGTCTCCCTATACCATATGTGTCATGTCTCCCCATACCATATGTGTCATGTCTCCCCATACCATGTGTCATGTCTTCCCATACCATATGTGTCATGTCTCCCCATACCATATGTGTCATGTCTCCCCATACCATGTGTCATGTCTTCCATACCATATGTGTCATGTCTCCCCATACCATGTCATTTCTTCCCATTACCATATGTGTCATGTCTTCCCATACCATATGTGTCATGTCTCCATACCATATGTGTCATGTCTTCCCATACCATATGTCATGTTCCCATACCATGTCATGTCTCCGCATACCATATGTGTCATGTCTCCTCAAACCTATGTGTCATGTCTTCCCATACCATATGTGTCATCTACCATACCATATGTGTCATGTCTCCCCATACCATATGTGTCATATCTCCCCATACCATATGTGTCATCTACCATACCATGTGTCATGTCTTCCTATACCATATGTGGCATGTCTTTCCATACCATATGTCATCTGCTATACCATATGTGTCATGTCTCCCCATACCATATGTGTCATGTCTCCCCCATACCATATGTGTCATGTCTCCCCATACCATATGTGTCATGTCTCACCATACCATATGTGTCATGTCTCACCACACACATGTGTCATGTCTCCACATACCACATGTGTCATGTCTCCCCATACCACATGTGTCATGTCTCCCCTTACCATATGTGTCATGTCTCCCCTACCATATGTCATGTCTCCCCATACCATATGTGTCATCTGCCATACCATATGTGGCATGTTTCCATACCATATGTGTGTCATCTGCTATACCATATGTGTCATGTCTCCCCATACCATATGTCTGTCTCCCCATACCATATGTGTCATGTCTCCCCATACCATATGTGTCATGTCTCCCCCATACCATATGTCATGTCTCACCATACCATATGTGTCATCTCACCATACCACATGTGTCATAGTTCCCCATTACCATATGTGTCATGTCTCACCATACCATATGTCATGTCTCACCATACCACAAGTGTCATGTCTCCCCCATACCACATGTGTCATGTCTCCCCATACCATATGTGTCATGTCTCCCCATACCATATGTGTCATGTCTCCCCCATACCATATGTGTCATGTCTCCCCATACCATATGTGTCATGTCTCCCCATACCATATGTGTCATGTCTCATACCATATGTGTCATGTCTCCCCATACCATATGTGTCATGTCTCCATACCATATGTGCATGTCTCACCATACCATATGTGTCATGTCTCCATACCATATGTGTCATGTCTCACCATACCATATGTGTCATGTTTCCCTACCATATGTGTCATGTCTCCCCATACCATATGTCATGTCTCCCCATACCATATGTGTCATGTCTCCCCATACCATATGTGTCATGTCTCCATACCATATGTGTCATGTCTCCACATACCATATGTGTCATGTCTCCCATACCATATGTGTCATGTCTCCCCATACCATATGTCATGTCTCCCCATACCATATGTGTCATGTCTCCCCCATACCATATGTGTCATGTCTCCATACCATATGTGTCATCTACCATACCATATGTGGCATGTCTTCCCACATACCATATGTCATGTCTCCCCATACCATATGTGTCATGTCTCCCCATACCATATGTGTCATGTCTCCCCCATACCATATGTCATGTCTCCATACCATATGTCATGTCTCACCATACCACATGTGTCATGTTCCTTCACACCCCTTGGCAACCTACCCCCCCTTTCTTCCCCCCCCCACCCCCCTCCTCACCCTCCCTCTCCTCACCCTCAGTCCCTACCCCCTCATCTCCTCTCCCCTCCCCTCACCCCCCCCTCTCTCTCCCTCCCCCTCCCCTCCACCCCTCTCTCCCTCCCCTCCCCTCCCCCCCCTCTCTCTCCCTCCCCTCCCCCTCACCCCCCTCTCTCTCCCTCCCCTCCCCTCCCCACCCCCTCTCTCTCCCTCTCCTCCCCTCACCCCCTCTCTCTCCCTCTCCCTCCCCTCACCCCCCCTCTCTCCCCTCCCCTCCCTCACCCCCCCCTCTCTCACCCTCCCTCCCCTCACCCCCCACCCCCCTCTCCCTCACACTGTGTTTACTTCTGGGACGTGTTTACATATGGTGTTGTTTACTGTTGATCTGTTTATTGTCATCACGTGTTTGTGCGTCCCAGCTGTTGTTTGTTTATTGTCATCACGTGTTTGTGCGTCCCAGCTGTTGTTTGTTTATTGTCATCACGTGTTTGTGCGTCCCAGCTGTTGTTTGTTTATTGTCATCACGTGTTTGTGCGTCCCAGCTGTTGTTTGTTTATTTGTTTCTCTGTTGATCTTGTCTCTGGCGGAGGTCGTGTAGTTGTTGTTGTTGTTGTTCTCTCTCTCTCTCTCTCTCTCTCTCTCTCTCTCTCTCTCTCTCTCACAAGACTACTAATTCTCTTCCTCTTCCTCATTCTCCTCCTCCTCTTCCTCATTCTCCTCCTCATTCTCCTCCTCCTCCTCCTCCTCCTCCTCCAAATGATGTCGAATGGTATTATTTTCCTCCCGGTGTCAGAAGGTATTACTGTAGGTGTCAAGTAGAGTACCAATTGTCAGGTGGTGGAACGTCGGGTACCAGGTGGTGGAACGTCGGGTACCAGGTGGTGGAACGTCGGGTACCAGGTAGTGGAGCGTCGGGTGCCAGGTGGTGGAGCGTTGGGTACCAGGTGGTGGAGTGTCAAGTACCAGGTGGTGGAGCGTCGGTACCGGTGGTGGGCGTCGGGTGCCAGGTGGTGGAGTATCGGGTACCAGGTGGTGGGCGTCGGGTACCAGTTGGTGGAACGTCGGGTACCAGGTGGTGGAGCGTCAGGTACCAGTTGGTGGAACGTCGGGTACCAGGTGGTGGAGCGTCGGGTACCAGTTGGTGGAACGTCGGGTACCAGGTGGTGGAACGTCGGGTACCAGGTGGTGGAGTGTCAGGTAGCAGGTGGAGTATCAGGTACCAGGTGGTGGGAGTGTCAGGTACCAGTTGGTGGAGTATCAGGTACCAGGTGGTGGAGTATCAGGTACCAGGTGGTGGAGTATCAGGTAGCAGGTGGTGGAGTATCAGGTACCAGGTGGTGGAGTATCACGTACCAGGTGGTGGAGCGTCGGGTACCAGGTGGAGTATCAGGTAGCAGGTGGTGGGTATCAGGTACCAGGTGGTGGAGTATCAGGTACCAGGTGGTGGGTAGCAGGTACAGGTGGTGGAGTATCAGGTACCAGGTGGTGGAGTAGCAGGTGGCATGGTGGAGTATCAGGTACCAGGTGGTGGAGTATCAGGTACCAGGTGGTGGAGGCAGGTGGCAGGTGGTGGAGTATCAGGTAGCAGGTGGTGGAGTATCAGGTACCAGGTGGTGGAGTATCAGGTACCAGGTGGTGGAGTAGCAGGTGGTCTTGTTGCAGCGGCTGTGTTGTATGACAAGACCACACACACACACACACACACACACACACACACACTCTCATTAGACAGCAGAATCGAATGGCGTCAAATTATGTTGTAAAAGAAGACAAAAATATGAACAGATTTGGATTAATGGAGGAGGAGGTGACGTGTGTGTTGTGATGCAAGCCAGACTGTGTTGTGATGCAGAGCCAGACTGTGTTGTGATGCAGAGCCAGACTGTGTTGTGATGCAGAGCCAGACTGTGTTGTGATGCAGAGCCAGAGCGTGTGGAAAGGCCGACTGTTGTGATGCAGGGCCAGACTCAGGCAGATGCAGAGCGATGCAGGCCAGACTGTGTTGTGACAGAGCCAGACGTGTTTGATGAGCCAGACTGTGTTGTGATGCAGAGCCAGACTGTGTTGGTGGATGCAGAGCCAGACTGTGTTGTGATGCAAGGCCAGACTGTTGTGTGATGCAGAGCCAGACGGGCCAGAGCAGAGCCAGACTGTGTTGGGATGCAGAGCCAGACTGTGTTGTGATGCAAGGCCAGACTGTTGTGTGATGCAGAGCCAGACTGTTGTGTGATGCAACAGACTGTGTTGTGATGCAGAGCCAGACTGTTGTGTGATGCAGAGCCAGACTGTGTTGTGATGCAGAGCCAGACTGTTGTGTGATGCAGAGCACTGTGTTGTGATGCAGGCCAGACTGTGTTGTGATGCAGAGCCAGACTGTGTTGTGATGCAGAGCCAGACTGTGTGTGATGCAAGGCCAGACTGTTGTGTGATGCAGAGCCAGACTGTTGTGTGATGCAAGGCCAGACTGTGGTGATGAGCCAGACAGGTTGTGATGCAGAGCCAGACTGTGTTGTGATGCAGAGCCAGACTGTGTTGTGATGCAGGCCAGACTGTGTTGTGATGCAAGGCAGACTGTTGTGTGATGCAGAGCCAGACTGTGTGTGATGCAAGGCAGAGGGAGCCAGACTGTTGTGTGATGCAGAGCCAGACTGTTGTGGGATGCAGAGCCAGACTGTGTTGTGATGGGGTGATGCAAGGCCAGACTGTGTTGTGATGCAGAGCCAGACTGTTGTGTGATGCAGAGCCAGACTGTGTGTTGTGATGCAGAGCCAGACTGTTGTGTGATGCAGAGCCAGACTGTTGTGGATGCAGAGCCAGACTGTTGTGTGATGCAGAGCCAGACTGTGTTGTGATGCAGAGCCAGACTGTGTTGTGATGCAGAGCCAGACTGTTGTGTGATGCAGAGCCAGACTGTGTTGTGATGCAGAGCCAGACTGTGTTGTGATGCAGAGCCAGACTGTGTTGTGATGCAAGGCAGACTGTGATGCAAGGCCATGTGTTGTGATGGCCAGACTGTGTATGCAGAGCCAGACTGTGTGATGCGCCAGACTGTGTTGTGATGCAGAGCCCGACTGTGTTGTGATGCAGAGCCAGACTGCTGATGCGCCAGACTGTTGTGGATGCAGAGCCAGACTGTGTTGTGATGAGCCAGACTGGTTGTGATGCGGACAGACGCGATGCCAGACTGTGTTGTGATGCAGACAGACTGTTGTGGTGATGCAAGGCCAGACTGTGTGATGCGCCGACTGTTGTGTGATGCACAGACTGTGTTGTGATGCAGAGCCAGACTGTGTTGTGATGCAGAGCCAGACTGTTGTGTGATGCAGAGCCAGACTGTGGTTGTGATGCAAGGCCAGACTGTGTTGATGGCCAGACTGTGTTGTGATGCAGAGCCAGACTGTGTTGTGATGCAGAGCCAGACTGTGTTGTGATGCAAGGCCAGACTGTGTTGGATGCAGAGTCAGACTGTTGTGTGATGCAGAGCCAGACTGTGTTGTGATGCAAGGCCAGACTGTGTTGTGATGCAAGGCCAGGCTGTGTTGTGATGCAGAGCCAGACTGTGTTGTGATGCAGAGCCAGACACTGTTGTGATGCAAGGCCAGACTGTGTTGTGATGCAGAGCCAGACTGTTGTGTGATGCAGAGCCAGACTGTGTTGTGATGCAAGGCCAGACTGGTTGTAGCCAGACTGTGTTGGATGCAGAGCCAGACTGTGTTGTGATGCAGAGCCAGACTGGGATGCAAGGCCAGACTGTGTTGTGATGCAAGGCCAGACTGTGTTGTGGTGCAAGGCCAGACTGTTGTGTGATGCAGAGCCAGACTGTTGTGTGATGCAAGGCCAGATTGTTGTGTGATGCAGAGCCAGACTGTGTTGTGTGATGCAAGGCCAGACTGTTGTGTGATGCAGAGCCAGACTGTGTTGTGATGCAGAGCCAGACTGTTGTGTGATGCAAGGCCAGACTGTTGTGTGATGCAGAGCCAGACTGTATTGTGATGCAGGGCCAGACTGTGTTGTGATGCAAGGCCAGACTGTTGTGTGATGCAGAGCCAGACTGTGTTGTGATGCAAGGCCAGACTGTGTTGTGATGCAAGGCCAGAGAGTGTTGTGATGCAAGGCCAGACTGTTGTGTGATGCAAGGCCAGACTGTTGTGTGATGCAGAGCCAGACTGTGTTGTGATGCAAGGCCAGACTGTGTTGTGATGCAGAGCCAGACTGTGTTGTGTGATGCAGAGCCAGACTGTGTTGTGATGCAAGGCCAGACTGTGTTGTGATGCAGAGCCAGACTGTGTTGTGATGCAGAGCCAGACTGTGTTGTGATGCAAGGCATGTGCTGTGAGCCAGACTGTGTTGTGATGCAAGGCCAGACTGTTGCGTCACCACTATACACATCCTTCACTCTTGGTCAGCTGGAAGACCTTGATACTGTGTGAGATGGTTTCAGTCTCCATATGTGTGTTGTATTGTTGTTGTTATTATTATCGCTATTGTTGTTGTTATTATCGTTATTGTTGTTTTGTTATTATTATTGTGGTTTTTTTATTATTATTATTGTTGTTATTATCGTTATTGTTGTTTTGTTATTGTTATTATTGTTTTTTATTGTTGTTTTGTTATTATTGGTGTTATTATCGTTATTGTTGTTTTGTTGTTATTATTGTTATTTTTTATTATTGTTGTTGTTTTTATTATTTATCATTATTATCGAGTTTTTAAAGTGAACAAGAAAATAGTGGTTTACTTGATCGTTTCTAGAGCCAGGTAGTCGCCACACAGGTGTTCCGTCATTAGTGAAGGTGAGGTAACCCGCCACTCACCAGGTATAAGGTACACCTTTGTTATTCAGTCACCACTCTCCTATTCTCCTCTTCCATAGTACACATACATACATACATACATACATACATACATACATACATACACCGTCATGTACTGTATTCTGAATAAGTTGCTGTAGCTTACCTGGACTGATACACTAATTAATACAGTGACTAATTAACCTGAAAAAAGAGGAAGAGGAGAAAGATAAACAGAAAGAAGGAACAATAAAAAGACGATAAAGAAGGAAAACAAAGGAAAAAGAGGAAGAACAGGAGGAGGAGGAGGAGGAAGAGCGTTTAAATACAGCTCAATGAATTATTCTATTACAGGTGTGGGTGATATAGGTCACGGTGTCCGGACATACCTGAAGGAATTAAAACCTTTACTAATTTTCAAGAGCTGTGGTATTTTTCTGACATTTCCCGGAGTGTGTGTGTGTGTGTGTGTGTGTGTGTGTGTGTGTGTGTGTGTGAACTTTTAAAAACATTGCTAAGGTTTATTTTAATTGAGAGAGAGAGAGAGAGATAGAGAGATATATATTTATGAATCTTTAAAACAATTTCTGGGTTTTTAATTGCTTGATAGATAGATAAATAAAGAGAGAGATAAGTCAATTGCAAAAGTACTCCTCTTTTACGTGCGTGAGAGAGAGAGAGAGAGAGAGAGAGAGAGAGAGGGGGCAGTTATCAGGTAAAATACGGCTGCAAATTTACGTTTACCTGAAGGTTTATTCCTCGTTAGGTAGCCAGGTAGACCTTTTTTTTTACTTTACGTTAAGAGATCATTTTGACGTAAGTTTGTTTAAGAATCCTAACTGAGGTGTGTTGAGGCAGGTGTGGGAATAATTATGATTTGAAAAGACTTATACAGGTGTGTGTGTAATAATAATTAACGGTTTATTAATGGAGTTGCAGCCGGTGGCCGAAAATATACAAACTTACATTTGACTTAGACATAATGATATGCGTTGAATACATTTACAGGGCTGTACAGTACATAAATCAGGAGTTTATTATTTTAACAATAGATGGGATGGTGCTGTTCTTATATTCTGCGGGCTCTATGGGCTGAATTTTGTTGTAGTGGCGGACTGCGCGTGGTGGGAAGCTGCCGGTGGCAGGAGGTGGCGATGACGAGGATAGTGCAGTAGTCCACTGCCAAATCCTGCTAGTGCTTGGTGGTGGAGGTCACTGAGGGATGGCATTTCCAGGGTGGAGAGAGCGTTGGTGTAGCCGGAGTAGTCTGCGCCGAGCATGATTCTGCAGGCCATTTTCTGTACCTACTCTAGCCGACGTTGTTGGGTAGAGTTGAGAGAAGACGACCAGGCTGGTGACGCATACGTTAGTTTGGGGAGAATAAAGGCGTTGTAGATGGTGTGTGTGTGTTACCGCATACCTGTAAACACCTGTTATTGTTGAATACCTGCACAGCCAGCACATGTCTTTATCGTGCACGTGTCCGCTATATACAGGGTGTACAGGTGTGTGGTTGTCGCTTTACCTTAGCGCATACCCCCTCCACACACCCTTTAAACGAAGAGACCCCAAAAAATCACTACCAATTTCTCGTACGAAGTTGGTGAATATCCTTATATAAAAAAGCCTGTTATTGACAGCTTCGTATACAGTATCTAGAATGTTGATACAGCGAGAATAATGAAATAAATTAATGTTTGTGGTTAATTTATTACACAGTGTGGAAGATGGTTAGGTTAGGTCAGGTCAGGTCAGGTTAGGTCAGGTCAGGTCAGGAGCACTTATTTTACCTATTTCATATATGGTTAGGTTAGGTTTAGTACACTTTTTTTCCTACTTCACGTATGGTTAGGTTAGGTTTAATACACGTTTTTTTTCCTATTCCACGTATGGTAATGAGGAAAATTGTAATGAAAGAAGGTATAAAAGCCACAACAAACACACATCCACCACGTTAAAAATATCCATCAGTCAAGTCATGCCAGGTAGAATTTTTGACTGACTATAAAACCCACCTGAAATTAGTTACCTGTCATAAATAGTTTCCATGTTAGTTCATTATATTGAGGAATGTTTGGTTGTGTAGGAAAATACAACTTTATATAACATAATTTTATAACCAATCGTTGTGTAGGAATTCCACTTATTACAGTAATTATTTCATGTGATTTATTTGGTTATTTCAGTAATTGTTGTGTTTAATGTTGGATGATACAGGTGTGGTGATTGAGGGTTGTGGTGGTGGTTGAGGGTTGTGTTGGTGGTGGTTGAGGTTGTGGGTGGTGGTGGTTGAGGGTTGTGGGTGGTGGTTGAGGTTGTGGTGGTGGTTGAGGGTTGTTGTGGTGGTTGAGGTTGTGGTGGTGGTGGTGGTGGTTGAGGGTTGTGGTGGTGGTGGTTGGAGGGTTGTGGTGGTGGTGGTGGTTGAGGTTGTTGTGGTGCTGGTGATTGAGGTGGTTGAGAGTTGTGGTGGTGGGGGTAATTGTGGTGGGTGGTAGAGGGAGGAAAGGAGATAATTGTAGTGGGTGGTGGTGGTTGAGGGGGGGACAACAGCTGTGTAAAGGTGATCTCATCCTCCCTACACCTGTGGAAATACAATCACAGGTGTGCCAGTGTTGTATTGTTAATTAACTCCACTAACGTAATATAAATTTACACAGGTGAGTTATAATCGTAGACAGTTTACACAAACAAATACCAGACCGACTTTAATGTATATAGGACTCAGTATGGCGGTGCATAATAATGATTTATAGTTAATGTTCAGTCACAGTAAAAATTCTCTCGACACTTGGTGGTATGTACAGTCGGCTGCAGTTCTACCTGGTACACTGGCTGGTCCATTTTTGAGATGTGGCAGATATGTGGAATGTTTATCTGGTAGTGGAGTGTAGTGTAGTGAGTGTAGTGTAGTGTAGTGTAGTGTAGTGTAGTGTAGTGAGTGTAGTGTAGTGTAGTGAGTGTAGTGAGTGTAGTGAGTGTAGTGTAGTGTAGTGAGTGTAGTGTAGTGTAGTGTAGTGAGTGTAGTGAGTGTGTGTGTAGTGTAGTGAGTGAGTGTAGTGAGTGTAGTGTAGTGTAGTGTAGTGAGTGTATGGTGTAGTGTACCACCGCTGTGACGTAGGCGTTTTGGGTGTCAGTTTTTATAAGTCAATATATGTGAGTGTGTTTGTGAGTTAAAGTGTATTTGTAAACTGATGTGTCTCCAACCTACACACACACACACACATTCCATCCGCAAATTAATTTTCCTATTTCCATGATGCAGGAATTCATTTGTTCATCATCCTATATTAAATAAATAATAACAGCACAAAATTCATATATCTTGTAATTTTTTATTTTTTATTTTTATTTTTTATTTGACTTTATTTTTTCCAATTACATTATTGATCGCGAGCTTCCTCCTCTTCATCTTCTTATCTCTGACGTCACCCTATCACTGACGTCACAAGTCGGAGGTAACCAATCAGAGGCGAGATGTATAATTCTGATAAGATTCAACAAGTTTCAGCCAATGACAGTCGACAGGTGTGGTGTATGTACTGTAATTACCTGGAGGGGAATTTCCAACGAGGTTTTAAAAGGTGATTCACTGTGTATGCATTGTTGCGTCAAAAATATAATCCTGTGACGCCAAAAAGAGTAATGAGGTTTGTAAGGTGTTTTGGTTCTCAGAAATGGTTCAGGACAGGAGTTTAATGGTGTGTGTGTGTGTAAATAATAATAAATAATAATTAACGGTTTTTGAAAATTCTGCAGCCCGAAGGCTGAAAATATCCATTGGACATAAATGACTTATTACATACATTGGTGGTTTAACAAAAGCCTTCATTAGAGAAAGGTAAAGGAACATACAGAACATACAGATTAATGTAGGTGTTGAACAGCAAACTCGTAGTGTAGTAACTCCTCCCAGATGGTGTTAGGAGGAACTCACGTGGTGGCAGTTCCTCAGATGGTGTTATGAGGGACCTGGCGTGGTGTAGCAGTTCCTCAGATGGTGTTATGAGGGGCTCACGTGGTGTAATAACTCCTCCCAGATGGTGTTATGAGGGGCCTCACGTGGTGTAGTAACCCTCACAGATGGTGTTATGAGGGGCCTCAGTGGTGTAGTAACTCCCTCTGATGGTGTTATGAGGGCTCACGTGGTGGTACCTCACAGATGGTGTTATGAGGACCTCACGTGGTGTAGTAACTCCTCACAGATGGTGTTATGAGTGGCCTCACGTGGTGTAGTAATTCCTCACAGATGGTGTTATGAAGGGCCTCACGTGGTGTAGTAATTACTCACAGATGGTGTTATGAGGGACCCCATGTGGTAGTAACTCCTCACAGATGGTGTTATGAGGGACCTCACGTGGTGTAGTAATTCCCTCACAGATGGTGTGATGAGGGACTTGACGTGGTGTAGTAATTCCCACATATGGTGTTATGAGGGACATGTGGTGTAGTAATTCTCACAGATGGTGTTATATGAGTGAGGTTGTCCCAGGCCTTCCTATCGTAGACGGATTAACACATCGGTGGTTGTTGTTGTCTCGCGGGGGCCGTTATCACTGGTACCTGGGACCTCACTGTGTGAAGGTTAACTTGGGTACG